GCACTTTAGACAATGCACTGCCACTGTTCTTTTAAAAAACACGCAATACTGGTGTAATATGATCGAGATGAAGACAAATCATTAACACAGCAAGACAATTTTGAGAAGTATATCCTGTTCTTTCAGCTAATAAAATTTCACAAAATTTTTTACTTCTTAACAATTGATACCTTATACTAATTCATGATTGAGAGAAAAAAATCCATAGTTGATGCTCTGCCCTCACATGAGATAACCTCAAAATGTACTTGCTTTTCTTCTATTAGATTCAATGAATGAATCTTTCTGCAAAAATGCTTTAGGTAAATTTTATAGCTCTTTTTAATATATAATCTATTATCTTATAGGAAAACAGACACTCAAAATAACTTGGCCTCAGAAAATCATATTTAAAATTGCTTTTTTTATGTGAATAATCTAATCTCATTTCTTGTTAGATCAAACACTGTAGCTCTTAAAAAAAAAAAAAAAAAAAAGATTAAGTTTTCCTGTAAAATTAGCTGTCCATCTAATTCATTTACTTTGAAGAAGGTGACCTGCCTCAGACTTTCATATCTCCAGACCTTCTTAAACTACAGTAGAGTTTCGATTCGGAACTTCAGCGTGCTTTGTGATTAACACCCATTAAGCTGGAGGTCAAGGAGCAGGCCAGGCCAGAGACTAAATTTTGGCTTGAATTTCAACAAATGGAAATCCTACTTCATTTTGCCCTCTGCTCCCCAATTAAGAGCTCTGAACTTCTGTTGCAGGGGTTCACTAAGCATCATACACACTCAAGCAATGGATTCTCTCAAGTCACAGGTTCCTCCTTTCAATTGGCCTAGACTGATGCCTCAGAGAGATAGGTGGGTGTGAGAAGAAACTGAAATATAAATCAGAATGTCCATCTTCCTATAGAAAAGACTCCTGAACTAGTAAGGCTTTCCCTCTCCACATAAATCCTCAAGAATGGGCAACACTAAGTAATCAATCCGCTTTCTTTGCCCATTGGCCTACCCACAATGGCAGTGCAGTAGAAATACTTGAGAAAAAAGAGGGGAAAAATAAAAAAGGTAGAAAGCCATCACTTTGAGGAGTAAAACCGCTGGAGAAGGAAGCAACCTGAAGGAGTCAGATGATGGCAACCAGCCTTGACAGCAGTTAATTTATCACCACAAGATGTTGGCGAGTTAAGCACAGGACTGACGTGTACAAACTCCAGGCACTAGACTCAGCCTAAAATTCGTCAGAAAATGGTAATAATTGGGGACCACACATTTGAAATATACCACTAAAAAGGGAGGGCAGTCATTGGAGGGCCACAATCACAATGGTGACCTCTCCTCATGCCCAAGGTCAGGTTAATGCCACACTTGTCATCCACTGAACCAACTGAGTGAACACATGGCAGGCAAATGTGTCCAAGGGCACTGTGTTATTTGCACCAGACAGATGCCTTTTTCACTGTTTTTAGTATTCACATCGCCTGTCAGGAAAGAGGGACAGCAAACACAATTTGCTCAGATTTGCTACGTGAATGTTACTGCTTTACGAATGCTCCAAGGTCTGGCCAGGTTAGGCTTAGGAAGCAATCCAGGCCAGATCTGATGTATCCTGCTGCCTTCCTCCCAGTTTTTACCTCTTCCTTACCCATTCCTTTGATCCAAGGAGGATTCAACTTAGTCAAAGGGAATGTGGTTGGTTGCCTCCAAGCAGCCTTTGCTTTTTTTTTTTTTTTATTTGAGAGAGAGAGAGAGTGAGAGAGAGAGCGCAAGAGGGAGTAGGGTTAGAGGGAGAAGCAGACTCCCCGCCGAGCAGGGAGCCTGATGTGGGATTTGATCCCGGGACTCCAGGATCATGACCTGAGCCGAAGGCAGTCGCCTAACCAACTGAGCCACCCAGGCGCCCCAGCCTTTGCTTTTAAACAGGTTCCCACCCTCGGGTACTTACTCAAAAGGGTAGTCAAATAATTAGCTAAAACAGAGCAATCACACTGATCACTCAGGCAATTCTTAGACTAGTTCAAATCTCCAAAGAGGATTTAACAACAGTTCTAAAGAATTGAACCCAGGGGACGCCTGGGTGGCTCAGTCGGTTAAGCGTCTGACTTTGGCTCAGGTCATGATCCCAGTGTCCTGGGATCGAGTCCCGCATCAGGCTCCCTGCTCTTTGGGGAGCCTGCTTCTCCCTCTGCCTGCTGCTTCCCCTGTTCATGCTCTTTCGCTCTTTCTCTGACAAATAAATAAATAAATCTTAAAAAAAAAAAAAAAAGAATTGAACCCAGGTCTTCCAATGCAGAGAAGTAGGAATTGAGGTGAAAACTGCAAGGGAGGATAGAAAACAATTTTTAGAATAAAAATCTCTTCATTAAAATATACAAACAATGACAAGAACTGTCTACATGTTCATGAAAATCCTTCATTTCCTTTTGCAATGTAGATTCCTGGCAGAGTGTAAGGGCAATTGAACTACAATGTCCCAGTTTTCCAAATTAAGAAAATAAAATAATTGTTTCCCTAACCTTCAAATTCTACTTCTGAAGGCTAAACTTAAGCTTTAAGAATCACACACCAAAAGAGGGTACAGGTAAATCTCGTTAAATTTTTTTCATCTGCTGTCCTGGTTTCTCAGCTATATCAATCTTCCTAGAACTACTGTGGAAAGAAAATTTAAAGGACCAGTAAAAAAAGATAGTTCCATTGATAAGAAGCCCAGCTTATCAATGACATGCTAAAACCTGTAACCTCACTAATCATTTCAGCAGTGTGCCTCATTTGTTATATTTAATATACTCTTCATCCTTAAAATTTTAACAAGTACCAGGATGCCTGGATGGCTCAGTCAGTTAAACATCTGCTTTCAGCTCAGCTCATGATCCCACGGTCCCGGTCCTGGGATGGAGCCCTGCATTGGGCTCCTTGCTCAGCGGGGAGCCTGCTTCTCCCTCTGCCTGTCACTCCCCCTGCTTGTGTACTCTCTTTCTCTCTCTCCCTCTGACAAATAAATAAAGTCTTAAAAAAAAAAAAATTTAACAAGTACCAATCCTGTTTTCCATTTGAGAAACTTCAAATGGAAAGAAAACTGGAAAAAATATTTTTATTAACATAAAATGAGTGTAAGTGGAACTCCCCACCCTCCCCTTCATATATTTACTGATAACCACCTGACAGGGTAATGGTGATATAATGTGGTTAGGGAAGAAGGGGGGTAGGGTCTGCAGTTTCCTTTTTCTAGTGTTGACTTGTTTTCAGTGCTGACACAACCAACCCTAGAGGTTACTACTCAAAGAAAGCATAGACAACAGAAGTGGTTATTAGGGTGATTGAGAGAAGACTGAGAAACTGACCAATTGCCCGCAATTATTTTTATAGATTCCTTCCAAATCGCTGATATTCATGAGGAAATAGCATAAACAATAGAATAATGCTATATTAATATATCCATATGGTATCTTTAAGAGTGATTCCAAGTATTTCATGTCCTGTAATTAGCTGAAGTCTGGAATGCCCTCTCTGGTTCTCCTACTGCTCATTTGTTACTGTGCCATTTGACAGTAACAGGAGAACCAGATCAATTCTTAGGAGGTTTGTTTATTCATGAAATAACATTTAAGGAATGAATACCCGCTTATCACATAAAAGAATCGAGTTATTTGCTTAATCTATAAGGAGATGCAATATGTTAAAATGCATGTATCCGGCCCTCGGAAACAGATTTTTCTAGGAATTTAAAAGGCCCACAAAATCTCTTAATGGTTTAAAAAAACAAAACAAAACAAAAAAACGGCGAAGCAGTTATAATTACACCATGGAGTTTTGCAATCGTTTCTTCTTTGTTTTCAGTCCTGATTTTAGAAACCAGAGTACAAAGAAGTGAATAATGAGTTTACAAAAACACTGTTCCCACCACCAAATAAATCAAACTGTTACTTAAATTAAAAAAAGGTAGAGCAATGAGGCGGTTCCAAGTTAATCGTGGAGATAATGACTGTTGAATTCCTTCACTGGAAAAACTTTCAACTCCCCGTCGCACCCTCCATCTGCCAGCCGTTCAAAGGATTCGTGGTGAAAGTATCCAACGTGAAGACAACAGGGCCAAGGCTCGAAGCTCAGGCTGCCTTCTTACTGGGAGGAGTAGTTCCCAGGAGGAGGAGAAAGATCTCCGCGGTTACACAGCCCTCCCACCCTAACTCTCCCACGTGGTACCTGCGGGTCATGTCTCCACCCACGCAGGGCTCCGCCACCAGCGTCGGGTGAGGCTGTGGTCCCGTCTCTCTTTTTTCTTTCCTTTTTTTTTTTTTTTTTTTTTTTTTTTGCCCGGGGATGCCCAACAGAGCGAAGCCCACAGCCCGGGCACTGCCAACCAACTAATTTCCTGGCTGGACTGTAATAACTTTCGAAGGATAAATTCTTCGTTGTTTCCCCTGCCCAAACCTGGCCCGCGCCCGCCCATCCACCCGCCCCGTCCGCTGCGCTCTCCCGACTTCGAACCCGGGGCCGCGCGCGCGCACCGCACCTCTCCACCCTACCTCCCCCGGGGCCGCGCGCGCGCGCACACACACACCTGGGCCGCTCCGAGGTGGAGTTCTAAAGCAGTCGACCTCCTTTCCCAGCGCCCAGGTGTTGAGATCCACGTGCAGAAGGTGCGAGAAATAGCTCACTCGGAGCGGGAGGCAATGGGGGAGAAGAGATGCTGGTTTCAGAGTTAGCTCCCTCTGGAAGCCGAGTTCGGAGTGGCTAAGAGCACCAGGGCCTCCCAGGGTCCCCGCCGACGGCGGCACTCGGCACACCAGGCTGAGGCGCGCGCCCAGGTCTTCGCGACCCCAGCCCCGAGGAGGCGGGGCAAGCCGCGGGGAGCCGGCCCTCGCACGCAGCTCGGAGCCCCGCCTCCCGGCCCGGCGCGCGGCCTCGCGGCGCCGAGGACGAAAGACACGCCCCGCCCCCTTCCCGGCCGGCCAATGGGTTTCCGGGCCGCGCACCGTGTGTCCCCGCCTCCACCAGGGAAACTTGGAGCAGGAGAAAAGTTTGTACAGAGGCTGGAAGGGCGAGAGCGGAGCTCGAAACCCGGCAGCCAAGAGGAAGAAGATGAAAGATCCCAGGTCAGAGCCTCAGGCCGAGCGGACCTTACACCGCCCCCGGGGCGTCGGAAGCAGCCTCAGTGGCAGCCGCCAGCCCCGATAGCCGCCCGTGCTGCCCAGGGCTGAGGAGGAGGGCGGCCCGAATCCGGGACTGAGGCTCCGTGCCACCTGCGCGCGCGGCCCCACACCTGCGCGCTGTCCGCCCGGGGACCGGACCTGCGGGCTCCTCAAAGTTTGGTCCCGTCTTTGAAGGTACGGAAGAAAAAAAGAAGAAGAAAGAAAGAAAAAGAAAAGAAAGAAATCAATCCAAGATCAGGTTGCATTGACCCATCCCGCTACCCTTCTGGTTCTGCCAGGTGTTCGAAAGCTTGCCATTCTGACCCCAGTTCCGGAAAATTGGCAGCCGCAGAGACCCGGCTCTGAGAAGACAAAGGCTTGGCAAGCTCCACACCGAGCGGGCGAGACCGAGGGCAGGTTGGAGGCGTGTGGTGGACATCGGAGTCTTGACCCTGGGGTCCTCCGCGGCCGCCACCGCCGCGGCTCCCACAGGTAAGATGAGGGTTTGGGGGCACTGGGCCGAGAGCGGTGGGCGGGCGCTCCTCGAGCGGAGCCCGGGAGGAGCGAGTGCGCTTTCCAAACCGCCTTCCGAAACTTGTTTTGAGTGAGGATTTTATTGACTCAGAATCTGTCGGGAATAAGAGCGAACCACTCACTTATCCCTAGAGATAGGTCTTGTTCATTTTGGCAGTGGAGACAGTTGGGCTGGGGGAGGAGGAAAGAATGGCAGTATCAACTGACAAATACCAATGGCAGGAGAGTGGTGCTTCTGGCAGGACGTATCCGGAGCCTGGCGATTTCGGTAGCTACAATCCACGATGCAGGATCCAGTTATTCCTCTTGTCTCATCAGCATATTGTTTCTTGGGCGCGGGTCTGACACCTTGCAAGTGGTCGTTTCCGCTCACCGGGCCTTTGTCTTTCCTACCATCCCCAGACCCAGCCTCGAACTCCAAGGCTGCGTACCGAGGGCCACCACCATGTCCACTCCTGGGGTCAATGCGTCCGCCTCCTCTACCCCTGACCGTCCGAACAGCCCGGTGACCATCCCGGCGGTGATGTTCATCTTCGGGGTAGTGGGCAACCTGGTGGCCATCGTGGTGCTGTGCAAGTCGCGCAAGGAGCAGAAGGAGACGACCTTCTATACGTTGGTGTGCGGGCTGGCCGTCACCGACCTGCTGGGCACGTTGCTGGTGAGCCCGGTGACCATCGCCACGTACATGAAGGGCCAGTGGCCCGGAGGCGAAGCACTCTGCGAGTACAGCACCTTCATCCTGCTCTTCTTCAGCCTGTCCGGCCTCAGCATCATCTGTGCCATGAGTATCGAGCGCTACCTGGCCATCAACCACGCCTACTTCTACAGCCACTACGTGGACAAGCGGCTGGCCGGCCTCACGCTCGTCGCGGTCTATGCGTCCAACGTGCTCTTCTGCGCGCTGCCCAACATGGGCCTGGGCAGCTCGCGGCTGCAGTACCCGGACACCTGGTGCTTCATTGACTGGACCACCAACGTGACGGCGCACGCCGCCTTCTCCTACATGTACGCGGGCTTCAGCTCCTTCCTCATTCTCGCCACCGTGCTCTGCAACGTGCTGGTGTGCGGTGCGCTGCTCCGCATGCACCGCCAGTTCATGCGCCGCACCTCGCTGGGCACCGAGCAGCACCACGCGGCGGGCCCCGTCGCGGTGCCCTGGGCCCACTGCCGGAGCAACCCGACCGCCGCCTCCCCCGCCCTGCCGCGCCTCAGCGACTTTCGCCGCCGCCGGAGTTTCCGCGGAATAGCGGGCGCCGAGATCCAGATGGTCATCTTACTCATCGCCACCTCCCTGGTGGTGCTCATCTGCTCCATCCCGCTCGTGGTGAGTGGCTTCCCGGGAAGGGGGCCCTTCTGGGCCCTCTCCCCACATCCACCTCCCTTCTCCGTCTACCGCTTCCTCTGTTCCCTCTTGCGCCTTGACGGTGAACTTGTCCTCCAGGTCCAGGCTGGGCTTTCGACCCTCGGCTTCTCACAGAGCAGGCCAACCTCCCCAGTGAGATGTAGCAGGTGCTTTTCTCCTAGGCCCCCGAGTTTCTTTCTCCGAAAGCCTGGTTTCCTCCTTTCTCTCCCGGGACAGCCCCTACCCCTTGCTGCCTGACATTGGCCTTGAGCCTTCCGAGAACACCTGCCACTCTGTCAGATGTGGAGGGGAAACCGCTGTAGTGTGACTTAAGTCCTCCACAGTGAACCGCAGAAGCCCGAAACCTCCGGGTGGTAATCTCTTTGTTATACACCATTCCTTAGGGCAGTGGGTTTTTGGTGCTTTGATTTAGGCATGGGTTTTTTTTTTTTTTTCCCCTTTTGGTTTGTTTGTTTGTTTTGATAGATTATGTAGCAGTTTAGAGCTAGAGAGATTGGATGCGTTTCGGTCTAGTCTGACGCCCTCACATGACACAGGGCGTGACTTGCTTAAAATAATCTAGCAGAACTACACTGTCAGGCTAGGTTCCCTGCTCTTTACCATGCTGTGTGCACTGCAGGTGGGGGTCACAGTTCCTACTAGGGCACGGCCCAGAGTCAGGTTCCTTCATTCTTTCTTGGGACCAGGAAAGCCAGGATTCTCAAGGGGCCTATGAAGGGCCGGCTGATGTACACGGGTTATTGAACTTGCATTCTCAACAACTGTGAGAGGTACTGTGCCACTCTAAAGAAAGGAAGCTTTAGAGATGGTGATCTAGTTACTGCCAAGCCAAAACCCTGCAGCTTGTGATGAACCTCAGACCCACCTGACTCCAAACCCTGTTCACATAATATTACATCATGTCTCACTCCTAGAACATTTCTAATTTTGGCCTTCGTACAGTGTGTGCATTTGAGTTTTGGCACACTTCACTTTTAGGACACCGCCTTCTTTAAAATTGCCTTTGGATTAGCTTTTAAAATGTTATAAGCAGAAAGGCTGAAAACTCACCTAGTTCTCTACTTTGCCTGTCATTAAACCAGAATGCACCAGAAACTGATGGGCTTATGCACACAACACCTTCTCCAGAGTTTCTCTTGAAAGCAACAGGTTCTGAGTTTTTCCATCTTTCAAAACACTGTATTTCTAGAAATTCTAAACTACCAACTCAAAAAGAGAGGACTTTTCTTTCTTCTGCTGATTGGGAACAAGGGAAAATAAATGTAATGAGCTATTCTTCCTTTCTTTCTCTTACTAATATGGTCCAGGGATCTTTCATATAAAAATATTGTATCTCTGATAAAAGTGAGTGTAAATGAAAGGAACTTAGATGAGAGCCAGCATACAGTAGCTTCTTGACAATTTGTATAAACAGAAATAAATATAATTGGCCAGAACGGCCTTTAAACCGTTCCAGGACCCAATATAATTTACCGAGTTAAGTCACACTTGAGCCACATAAATATATTTTACTGTCTGTAATGGCAACTCAGAATACAGTGAGATTTTGGAAGAAACAACCCTGCTCCTCCTAGGGCTCCTTTCTCTGGCTGCACCTTATGTTTTACAGAACAGTAAATGACAAAGTGAAAGGCTGTTATGTACAGAAGAACATCCACTTTAAGGAACTAGCATTACAGCTAGTTCAGCAACATGCACATACTTCTAAAATATGAAGGTAAGCATATGAAGCTGTTGATGATTGATTGCACAGTGACAGGTGAATTGTTTTCTTGGAGCATCTAGAGAGGCATAAAAAACTTCATTCATTTTATGGGCTGAAGTGGACCTGCCCCTGTGGTATGGGGCCATTTATCACAAAGCCTTTGAAGTTATTTGAGAAGCTAGAGGCAAGAAACTATAGGAGCTATACTTGTAGTCTGCAAATTAGCCACATTTTAACTAACAAATACTATCCACTATTATATAAAGTCAGTAACGTACAGTAGATACTAAGTAATTTTACTCTGAAAATTGAAACTGGCTCAGCTAAGAAGTAATCATAGTAAAGTACTCATGTGCCTTTGTAAGTAATAAGGAATCATACAAGTAATAGTAGCTTCAGTGTTTAGCCTTTAGTTCTGGCTACCAGACTCTAATTACAGAATCAATTTAGTTGTAAATTAATGATAATCAAGGAGGTCATTATACTACCCATCCACCCACAGTTCGGCTGTTACTGAAAGAGTTAAAAGGGGAATTTACCCATAACTATAGTCTTCCTTGGCTTACTTTTACGAGTTTCTTGTCTTTTAATGTTTCTCATATTCAGATTGTAACTTTAAGTTGAAAGTTTCTGAACCCTGACATTTAAAGCAGTCGGACCTATCTGCAGTTCCAAGGAAACTAATGAAGCGCGTTTTTTACCTTTATCAAATCAAGTTGGTTGCTAATCCTATTTGAGGAAAATCAAATCCTTCAAAACACTTAAAATGCTTCCGAAAGGCTAATAGAGCAAACAGAGTTTCCTTGGAGTTTCAGAAAGCTTGACACATTGTATAAGGTTAACAAGCAGCCAAATTTTGTCTTTTGGACACCAGGGAAGAAAAACTACAGTGGCTCTTACAGGGCACTTGATACTGAGTTTCATAGAAAAAAGTAAATTTTAATTTGTTATCCAAAACACATGTCTCATAAATAGAGCTTGGAATGGAAATTTGAGAAAGCTTGGGAAATTAATCATGGATATAAGAAACTGTGCTAAACTTGAGAAATTTTCTAAAATGAACAGAGAAGGTTCATAAGTACATTTGACAAGGAACATTACATGACAAGATTTGGTGGGAAGGTGGTTCTTGTCATTTTGCCTATTCTTCCATTTAAAACCAGTCTCTGGTTTTTTAAACACAGAAAAAGCTGAAGAAATGAAAGCGTCTACATGTAAGATAAATATAAAAGGGATTGAATTCTTCAGAAATATGCAAACAAGACAGCCTCCTAAGGTCCCAGTGTTAAATACTATAGCTAGATCAACTTCTGGTGCCCAATTTTACAGTTACTAATGTCGAGATAACAATTAAAATCAAATATTTTGCCTCAGGACTGAACAGTGAACGCTGTAGGATTTGAAAAGGCATTTTCTCCCTTGCATAGGCAAGCTGAGGTCATATTTACCGCTTACTTCCTTCTCTTACTTTCTTTCTTCTTACTCTGAAATAACAAGGATTCATCTCTGGTAGGGGTAGAATGGCCAGTTTGATTCATCTTCTGCCTTGGACAAGTAAAACATTGATCTTTAGAAAAATAGCTTCCTGTGAGTGTTTATTTGGTTGTTTACTATAAACCAGTTGTCTCTATAAAGACTTCACCAGCATTCAATCAAGAGAGATTTATTAGAGCAGAGGAAAACTGGAAAAAGATAGACTTCTGTTTACCGGAGGCAAACTGGAAGTGGAGTCATCTGATGGGATTTCAGATGAGTACAAATCAGTTAAAGGCATAAGAGTGATGCCATAAATTCGAGTACTCTTACAGCAGAACCTGAAGGGTTGGATTAGTTTTCAAATAAATTTGGCTGAGTTAAAAACGCAGCAGTTCCTGAAAGTGGTGTTTTAGTCATAAGCACGGAATTGCTGACCGAGTTAGTGCTAGAACCTTGAACCCTGCAGAGTAGCATATGAAAGGGATTCCCACCTCCAGCATCTTGTCTGACTCGTGAAGAAAGCAGGGCTAGCCAATATTTTCACTCTGCTCCTCAGTCTTCTCAAAGGCACATGAAGAATTTCTATCCTTCTGCAACTTGCTGGGGGGCTGGGGGGGATCCCAGTCTCATGGACTTTTACACCATGCTTTGCTGACCTTCCAAGGCTCGGTTTTATGGAACATCTACTAACAAGATCTTTCCCCCCAGAGACGAAGTGATTCTTGTAATCTCCCATTAGAATATTGAAAGTTCAAGTAAAGAAAAAAAAAAACAAAACACAACTTCAGAAATATATTTTCAGTGTGGAGACAGACGTGTAGAGATTAAGTAATTTGCCTGCAGTAAATAGCTAGTTAGTGACCCAGAGGGAAGGAGAACGGAGCACTCTTACACCATCACATGGGCAAGACCTCTTTCCACTATCCTTTACTTAAAGATTTTTTTTTTTTTTGGTCATTAAAAAAAAAGTGGGAAGAATTTCTAGTAACAGCTGTGTCGATTTTGGATTCTTCACAGGACAGTTAGATAACTGAGCACACACAGATAATTCCATTTATGTTCTTGGAACAGAACACACAGCACACACAAATCCCGCTCTCGGATCTTGTCATTTATTGGAAAGCATTTGTACTTTGACAGTCAGTGACTAAATCAGTCTCATCAAAGTTTCAACATGCTTTTTCAATTAGACATTCCCTGCTAACAGGTTTTACTTACATAGGAAGTACATGTTTTTGATACCAAATCCTTTACACCCCAAAGCTACTTCTAAACTGTGGTTTTGAAATTATTCCTATATTCCACAGTAGCCAAGCTTCCATGTATGGGTTACCAAGAAAGCAAGGACAGCAGACATGTATGTTGTGTGCCAGGCATCATACAAAGCACTTTCATCATCCGCACGTTAATTAGAAGGAGCAGAGCCAGGATTTGAAAACAGGTTTGTTTGATTCAGAGCGTGTGCGAGTACCTCTACAACATACAGCCCCCCTGATAGCTCTCCTGTCCTCACACCTTGTTTTGAATTTATCATATTTTCTCCAAGTTATGTTCCAGTGCTCCTGAGTCCTAATCTCTAGTCATCTTCAAGCACTTTAGAATACGGTAATGTCTGCCAGTGTTAAAGATAAACCACACGCACAAATCTGCGGCTCCTAAAAAATAGATTCGCTTTTAAAATTGCAAGAGAGTATATATGTTGTTTGTATCCAGTGAAGTGTTTTAAGGTGTCTTTTTCCCCCAATGCAGAAGTTCTGTTTTATCACACTCTTCCAGCACTGAAAACTGCCTGAACGTACATACAAGGCCTGTTGGACAGGAATTCCAGAAAAGTGCTTTCTCCTCCCCACATGACATTGAACTACTGCTGTGGATATTCCTATCCCTGCTTTGGGGAGAGCAAACCAAGTAGCCTTTTAAAGTGAGGCAGACATTGCTAGACTTTTTAAAACATTATGGAGTACATGGAGCTTTTGTTCATTTTTGTCTTTTTCTCCACCTCAAGTCAATCTCCAATGAGGACACGCTGCAAAGGAAAACTGGTTTGTGTTGATTTGTTTTTTTCAAACAATTTGACCAACTTTTGCAAATGTTTTTACCTGAACTTGAAATGTTGCTTTTCATATTCGTCTTTATTGCTACCTTATGGGCTCCCCTTTGCTAAAATGACATTAAGTGACCAGGCTCAGTGGCTTATATTAATTGTAAGCTTGTACACACACACACACACACACACACACACACCCATGGAACTCTAAAATAGGGCTTCCTTCATTCCCTTGGACACGAGTCAAAACCAACTAGGGCCGTGGATGAAGTAAGACACAGATTGATGTGATGCTTTCCTTGCCTCTCATCACCTTGGCTTACGAAAGCCCAATTATTAATTTTTTACAACTCTCTGGCTTTTCTAAAACGTCATAGAAATTTTAAAATAAAATGCTAACTCCTAGCACATTCCTGTAAATAGCTACAGATTTCATTCCTTTTATATCCATTTCAACCATTCAAAAATTTTCCTCGTTTCAGAAGTAATCCTGTTTCTTTTGAGGTACGGGTGGGAGAGGCAACCAGCAACAAAAGATTTCAATGTTAAAATCTAAGAAATGCAAAGTTCAGACTTAACCAAGGTTCTGTTCCGAAAGAGGGTCTCGGAGATGGCTGCAGACTGCTGCTTAGGGAGAACCTGTGGAGCAAAATCTCCCAGGTGGAGCAACACCGCCACCTAGAGGCTACAAGTTTCAAATTCTCACAGACCCTGCCTAGGTTTTTTTCCTAAAGGCTACACGCAGGGAAGGCCTGATACTAACAGATTTAAGTCCATTATTTCTTTTACCCTTAGGAACACAGTAGGTGATATGAGTAATATAGTAACCTCATGCTTTGTACCAGTGATTCCATTGTCAGGAAATAGTTCTTTTTTTTTTTTTTTTTTTTTTTAAAGATTTTATTTATTTATTCATGAGAGACAGAGAGAGAGAGGCAGAGGGAGAAGCAGGCTCCCAAGGAGCAGAGAGCCCGATGCGGGACTCAATCCCAGGACCCTGGGATCATGACCTGAGCCGAAGACAGACACTTAACATCTGAGCCACCCAGGCGCCCTGTCAGGAAATAGTTCTTAAACAGAAAGCCAGCCAGCCTGTAGAACAGAAAAAAAACAACATGGGATTCATCGGGAGACCTGGGGCCCAGACCGGAATCAGCCACCGACAGGGTGGCTTGATAAGTTCCTCAAAACCTTCAGGTCTTGGTAACACTTCATCTGAGAAAAGGCCTGTAGACCAAACACAGCTCAGTGCCTCAATAAAGATTAGGGTAAGAAGAAACCAAAATGCTTTGCTTCACTAGTTTTTTTATAAAGATAGGCAATCAATCCTGCTTTGTCTTGTTAGTATCACTTATCCAAGCAGTTTCTGAAAGTCTTTTAAGACATCATATACTTCTGTTATTCTAGTTCACTTTTGATTTAGCTATCTTCCAGAGATCCATATTAATTTCATGCTAGTGAGAGCCATTTGACCATCTTACTTTATTCTGTGAGATTTACAGGATCATAATCCCTTATCCAAAACATTTAGGGCCAGAGGTGTTTTAGAATTCAGAATTTCTTGGCTTTTAGAAAACCACTTTAGTAATATACTGTATAATATATAATTGGGACAATATCTCTGAAGCAAAACACAGGAATACTTATACTCAGTAGAATAAATAAACTGCAAATAGCCTCACTATCTAGTTCAGTTCAGGTTTTACTGCCGAAATAAGTTTAGGTCAGGTTTTGCAACCAAAAACAAAACAAAACAAACAAAAAACCAAATGAATAACAACAAAATAACCACAAATGAGAAACAATAACTTCTTAGAAAAGGACTATGGACCTGAGCTGATCAAGGTCTGAATTCCCACTAAGGAAGAAATAGAAGTACGGTTACACCTCACTGATCTAGCTTCATCTAGAAACAAGTTTCTCATGAGTTGAGTTTTGCAGATTTATTTCCTTCATTTTAGGCTTATCTAAACTGTTATAAATCTTTCTAAAATATCCCTTCTGTTTCATGGTGATTGATACACCATAAGTATTAATTATTATACTATATGGTAAAGTAGCAATGTCCTCAAGTCTTGTTAAAGTTAGAGATATTTGCCCCTAGTTAAATGGCTCCAGCTCTGCTTTTCTGAGTTCCTTCTCCTTTTTATGGTTTTTATGCATCCTCCTTGGCTGAGACTCCGCTCTTACTTCTCTCTAACTTAAAATAATTACTACAGGCAAGTGATAATTATTAAATAATTGCTAAAGACAGAGGTCAATTATCTTAAAACCACTTTTTATGTGAGGTGAGATCTTTCTATAAAAATCCTAGTGGAATTAGAAGTAAGATTTAGACAATAATACTTTAAGAGTAAATTTAAGAGGCACCTGGGTAGCTCAGTCGGTTGAGTGACTGCCTTCAGCTCAGGTCATGATCCCTGGGTCCCAGGATCGAGCCCCACATAGGGCTCCCTACTCTGTGGAGAGTCTGCTTCTCCCTCTCCCTCTGCTGTTCTCCCTACTTGTACTCTCTCTCTCTCTCTCTCTCTCGTTCTGTCAAATAAATAAATAAAATCTAAAAAAAAATTAATATAAGTAAATTTAAGAGTGTACATTTAGCAAGTGCTTTTTCCTCTAAGGAGTAAAATATAGTCATCCTTAAGTTTACATAAATTCATGCTCTCTTCATTAAATCATTTGAAGTTCCCAGAAGTTGGCATATCATTTCATTCTTCCATGACTTTACACATGGAATTACCTCTATTTGAAATGCTATGTCCTTCCTTCTAAATTTAGCAAACTCCCCCTCATCCATCAAAAACTCCAGACAAGCTCCCTCCTCCTGCAGGAGGAATCCTCTGATGTTTTCCCCTCCTGCTCTGGATTAGTCGTGCCCCCTTAGATTCTTCTCCCGTTTCATTTAATCACCTTGCAGCCACAGCTGGTTCTCCTTCCTGTCTTCTGCACTGTAGGTTACCCTGCCTTCAAGAAGTCTGTGGTATTTAATGCAACTTTTTGTGGCCAGACTTACCGCAACGCCTAACACACAATAAGTGCCTACTCTTACATGATTAAATGCGTGAAAGAATATGAGTCACTAAGTGATTATAATAAGAGCAAAATTTGTGAACTGCCAAAAATAAGACTCCAAACTAGCAAACAGGTTGTTAGGGTCTCCTTGTGTTCCCTTCATTTATGCCTACCCGTCCTGTGGTGGGCTGGCAGACGTGCCTTTTGCCGTGAACAGCTCAAACCGCGGTAGAACCAGCTGTCTTCCCTACTGGTCTGTGCAGAGGTGCTCTCAGCACTTGGCTATTTACTGGCTCAAATGCTATAGGACACAAAGGAGGGACGGGTGGGTTTTTTTTAAGATTTTATTTATTTATTTATTTGAGAAAGAGAGAGCATAAGCAGGGAGGCAGAGGGAGAGGGAGTGACAGTTGTTGAGCAAAACTAGAGTTTGCAAGCAGCAGGGAGAAGGAAGGTTTAGCAATTGAGCAGCACAGTCAGACCTGCTTTCTAGACAGAATCCTCTGGTGGCAGTTTGGAGGATGGATTGGAGAGGAGAGGAATTGGCGGTGGGAAAGCTACTTGGGTGGCGGATGCAATAATCCAGGTGAGAAACGCAGTGCGAGGGAAAAGACTGGAAGAGGTGTTTGAAGGAAGACTTGGTAACACTAGGGGATTACTGTAACTGGGAAACAGACTCTAGAGAAAATGGAAACTATTCTCTGGTCATACTGGATGATAGGAGATTCAGATAGTGGTTTAAAAGTGTCCAGTGTATTCTTACTGGACTCTATAATAATAAAGGAATCTCTGGACTTTCCTGTGATGATTGGATGGTTAGTTGACTTACAAAATGCGTTTCATTTACATATATAAAAAGGCAAGTGGAGGGACTCCTGGGGTCGAGCCCTGCATCGGGCACCCTGCTCAGCAGGGACTCTGCTTCTCCCTCTGCCCACCGCTCTGCCTCCTTGTGCTCTCTCTCTCTCAGGCAAATAAATAAAATCTTTAAGAAAAATTAATAAAATTAGAAAAATTAAAAGGCAACTGGCATAAGGGAAATTGATGGCTGTGGAGGAGGGGAAGATACTTCATTTGAATTGCAAAAACTTAAAAGCACTCACAAAAATGAAGTTAATAAAATGTTTCTCAAGGACACTTTATGCATGTGTTGCCTATATATACATTGCATTTTTGTATACCATCTTTGATTGAAGGAAGATACTCATAAAATAGTTACAGAAATATTAAAGTTACACTAACTCAAAACAAATGTGATTACACAATTACCGGTTTTTCTGAGGCTTATTGTGTAAGCTGCTCTTACTCGGCACTTATTAAGAGAAAAGAGGGCAGCTAGCTAACGTTACTGGGTTAGACACTGATGCAACTATTTCCCCGGTTGATTCATGACAAAATCTAAACGTGGGCATCTCATTTATGCAGGTACGGGTGTTCATCAACCAGTTATATCAGCCACGTTTGGTGCAAGAAATCAGCAAAAACCCAGACTTGCAGGCCATCCGAATTGCTGCTGTGAACCCCATCCTGGACCCCTGGATCTATATCCTTCTGCGGAAGACCGTGCTCAGCAAAGCAATAGAGAAGATCAAGTGCCTCTTCTGCCGCATCGGCGGGTCCCGCAGGGACCGTTCGGGACAGCACTGCTCAGACGGCAGAAGGACATCTTCCGCCATGTCTGGCCACTCCCGCTCCTTCCTCTCCCGAGAGCTGAGGGAGATCAGCAGCACATCTCAGACCCTCCTCTACATGCCGGACCTCAGTGAAAATGGCCTTGGCGGCCGGAACCTGCTTCCGGGTGTACCTGCCACGAGCCCGGTCCAGGCAGACACCACCTCCCTGAGGACTTTGCGAATATCAGAAACCTCGGACTCCTCCCAGGGGCAGGACTCAGAGAGTGTGTTACTGGTGGACGAGGTTAATGGGAGTAGCAGGTCTGGGCCTGCCCCCAAGGGGAACTCTCTGCAAGTCACATTTCCCAGTGAAACACTGAACTTATCAGAAAAATGTATATAGTAGCTAAGGAAAGAAGTACAGCACTATTTCTGCTATTTCTGGAAGCATATAAAATCCTGTGCAATAGACACATAAATGAAGTGTTTTCGCTGTGCGCAGAAGGGCTGTTTTGTCCTTCAACTCACATTAAAGAACATCTGGGCTCTTCAGCACTTTGCAAACAATCCAGTTCATTCATAGGGGACCCAGGGTCTGAAGCACATTGGTTTTCACTTCACTATGACACAGGATTTCTGTCACCACTTGATGGCTGGGAAGACCTACCCTCAGTTTTTCTACTTGATAGGAGGATGGCATAAGTTTTGCTATTTTCGTAACATCCAGAGCTTTATATCTGGCATACAGCAGAAGGCCAGGTACGGAAGGGCTCTATTCCAATAAACTATGAGGACTATCTTGTGATTTAAGTGTCTCACTAAAGCATGAAATGTGAATTTTATCGTTGTAAATATGACTTAAGGTATTTAAAGTATTTTCTTCTCTGTGAGAAGGTTTGTTGTTAATACAAGGTATAATAAAATTATAGTAACCCCCTTCTTCCCAGTATAACCAGCTGAAGTTGCAGATGTTAGATTTTTTTCATAAACAAGTTTAGGCCAAGGTGTGGAAAATACAGTGAGACTCATAGCTATAAAAAAAATATATAAATTTTTAAAAGAAATAGTTTAATATTATAAAAGGAATAAAGCAAAATACTATTTTAAGACATGAACATTATAGTCCAAAATATTAAAGTTCTTTCAAAGCTATGTGTAATACATAGTGAAAAATTTTTAGTGATGCTACATGTATTTATCCAGAAAACTGTGATTTCGGGAGAAGCTAACCTGCTGGTTAAAATATTTTTTCTACTTTTGTCCCCACTGATACTTTTAAAAATGTAACAAATTTGTAAAAGTCCGAATAAATAACCCATAATTGAAGTGTATAATATAAAAGGAGTCTAAGCAACTTGTTTGTTGTTTTCCCTCTTCAAGTGTTCATAGTTTTACTTTCCTAAGGAATGATCTAGAGTATCCTTTAAAATTTAAGAGGAAGGCAGGTTGCACCATGAAGGCCTTCGAGATGTGGAAGTATCACAGATGCCGTAAGAGTTTAACAACATAAGGAGTGCAGAACTTGGACACGTGAGGGTAACCTTCTTGCGCTTTTGTGTAACACCCAGTGATGCTGTACACATTTGAAGGACCTTTCTCAAGGAAATACTAAGCATGTTTTGTTGCTTAAAATGTTTTTGTGAATTGCTTGGTTGTAATTAAATTCTGAGCCTGGTAGTGATACAGTTTTAAGAAGCAGTTGTACCAACTGAAATTATTTTGGAGATTATAATAAATAAATACACTCAGTCTGAGTTCCCGTATCATCAGTTTTGGAAAACTTGTGTGATTTTTGGGTTTCAGGTCATCGTCTACATCCTTTTAAATTGGACTCTTTAAGTTGTTTTATTTTGAAGTGATGTCAAATGTAGAAAAAAAGTTACAACAGGACAAAGCCTTGGATCCACTTAATGGCGAATGATATTGAGAAACCAAGATCTGGGTGTAAGGTGGACTCAAAGTCACATTTGTATGGGGGGAGGAGAGTACGGGGGAGACAGTATCATGCCTAACTTGCTGCATGTGGAGAACCCAAATATTTATTACAAAAAAATTAGCATAAGCTTGTGGCCCCTCCTACTTGTAAATTCTCTGCATCAGTGCTTCTCAAACTTGATCATGCACCAGCGTCATCCGGAGAGCTTGTGAGAACACAGTTTCTGCTTCTGTAGGTCTGGGGTGTATACACTTCTGAAAAGCTCCTAGGTGACTCTGATGGTAGCTGTCTGAGTACACATTCGGAGTAGTCCCCAGGAGTGAGGTGATTTGCCATTTGCAAGTTTTCAAAGGTATTCTTGGATGCCGTCAGAAAAACAGGACTGGCATCTTCACAAGCCTGAAGGCACAGTGATTCTCAGCTGAGGTCGAGGTAGCTTAGAAAAGGAGCTTCTGGCCCAAGCCTGAGATGTTCCATTTCCCCATGTTAACCAAAGCCTAAGAAACAATGTTTTCAGAGAATATTTTACCTGTGAAAGAGGCTTTCATTCTTCTCCCATGTATGTGGACAATGAGACAATCCCTAGATTTGTATATAAATGAAATCTATATATTATCATATACTACACATACTATATATCACTGTGTTTATGGAGGAAAAACTAAGCCTCATTCACAAGTTAGCATCATTACTAATACTCAAAGCATAATCTCACTCATACTTCAGAGGTTCACCATCCAGAATATGGACTCTGGCTTATTCTTTTTTTAATTAAAATAAAATTCACGTATTATAAAATCTGCCCCATATTTTAGTACGTTCACAGACTGCAACCATCACTGCTGATTCCTGAACATACTTATCATCCCAAAAAGAAGCCACATGCCCATCAGCAGTCACTCCCCATTCTCTCTCCCTAGCACACGACAACCACTCTATCTCTATGGATTCTCCTGTTCTGGACATAAATGGCATCATACAAGATGTGGCCTTCAGGGGCGCCTGGGTGGCTCAGTTGGTTAAGCGACTGCCTTCAGCTCAGGTCATGATCCCGGAGTCCTGGGATCGAGTCCCGCATCGGGCTCCCTGCTAGGCAGGGAGTCTGCTTCTCCCTCTGACCCTCCCCCACTCATGTACGCTCTCTCTCTCTCTCTCATTCTCGCTCTCTCAAAATAAATAAATAAATCTTTAAAAAAAAAAAAAAGATGTGGCCTTCAATATCAGGCTTTTTTTCACTTAGCATAATATTTTCAAGTTTCATCCATGTTGTAGCATGAATCAGTTCTACATTTCCCTCTTATGGCTGAATAATACTGCTGTATTTCCTTTTTTAAAAAAAATATTTCTGTATTTCTGATAGTAGCATTTGTATACAAGTTTTTATGTGAACATATGTTTTCAATTCTCTATATACCTGGGAATAAAACTGCTGGGTCATATGTTAACTATACGTTTAATTTTTTGAGGAACTGCCAAACTGTTTTCCCAAGTGCTTGCACCATTTTACATTCCCACCAGCAATGTACAAGGGTTTTGATTTCTCCATATCTTCATCAATTTTCTTTTTCCTCATCAATATTTCTTACTGTCTTTTTTGGTTCTAGCCGTCCTAATGGATATGAAGTGGTACCTCACTGTGATTTTTATTTGCATTTCCCTGGTGACTAATGATGTTGAGAACCTTTGCAGATGCTTACTGGCCATTTGTGTATCTTCTCTAGGGAAATGTCTTTTCAAATCCTTTGTGCATTTTTAAACTGAGTTCTATGTCCATATTAGTTTCCTAAGGCTACCGTAACAAAATACCACGGACTGTGAGGCATCAAGTAGAAATTTATTTTCTTACAGTTCTAGAAGCTGGAGGTCCAAGGTCAAGGCGCTGGCAGGCCTGGCTTATCCTAGAGCCTCTCTCCTTGCCTTGAGATGGCCATTTCCCTGCTGTGCTGTCACATGGCCTTCTCTTTGTACACCTGCTTCCCTGATGTCTCTTTTGCTATAAGGACACTACTCATACTGGATTAGGGCCCACCCTTATGACCTTGTTTGACCCGAATTACCTCCTTGAAGGCCCTACCTCCAAATACAGTTACATGGGGTCAGGGAGAGGGCTTCACCATCTGAATTTTAAGGAGATACAATTCAGTCCATGACAATGTCTTTTGATTGTTGAGTCTGCCTTATTAAAGAACAGCCAAGGAAGAAAAACTTCAGCATTGTTCGTCATCCATTCCACATCTATTTATAAAATTTACCAGCTATGTGATGTGAAGATAGTTTCTTGTGGGAAACTTGTTCCTGAACATTTACAGCTTCAAACTTTCTATGCAAGAAAATTCTGATTGTCTAACTGGCTGGTATTAAACTCTACCTGGTCCCAGTAGGATATAGCAGAGAGAAAGATAATCCTAACTCCATCTTATGATCTTTAAGACAATCTAACCAACATGTGAAGTGTGTTAGGAAAGATGATTTAGATTGGCACAGCTATTAAAGTGGTACTTTGATGAGAAGACCATGGAACACAAAAGTCCTTTCCCAAAGTGCAGCCACCCTCTCCATGGTTTCTTATTGGGGTCACAAACACAAAGGCCCATGGGAAAACCAAGGCATAGTGGTATTTACTGTTAGCTATGCCTTTGGCCTTAAATCTTAATGCAGAAATAGCCGCATGACACGGGGCGGTCATTTTTCCTAAATGCAATCCCTACCTTCCCAAGGTTTGCATTACACCACTTCACTCTTGCAAAAGACCTACATTGGTATGTTTTCACTAACCCAAAGAAATCCAAAGAAGATTTTTGCTTTTGCCAAAAATGAAAAGCAAAAATAGCATTCAGTGTTGGTTTTGCATCGAGCCATTCCAGAGGCAGCACAACCCTGAGCAGCGACAGTGGCCCCCCAACTTCCTGCCCCAGAACCCACACTCAGCCTCTCAGGACCAAGCCGCCAGGGCTTGAACTGTGTCTGTGAGCATCTGTGCTTTATCTGAAGTTCTTTTGTGTGTTCGTTGGCAAAATGTGTCCTACAATATCAAAAAAGTCTAAGGGAGGTTATTTTGGGGGTTTGAGAAAACTCAAAAAATTTTTTCCGTATACGTTAATGGTCATTGCTTCTTCACTTTATACTGTTTCAACTTATGAAAGGTTCAGTAGCCATGCCCTCCTTCCAGATAGCAGTGAACCTGTCCTTGTGATTGCTTCAGAACAAAACACACCGTGAAGTGTGCTCTCTTCCACTGCTCTCCCCACCACGTGCCTTTCCCAGCACCTCCAAACATGAATCTGAGATATTGCAGGTATGATCACAAGGTGGCTTTCCAGATACACAAGGAATGGAACCAGAGAGAAAGAGAATCGGCAAAAGAGCACATTTGACCCTGTTGTTTAGCATGGGTCCTGGGGCATACCTGGGGCTTTAGCTGCAGGCTGGAAACACTTTGGAAAAAAAGAAAGATAGTTGCGCCTCTTATCCTCATATCAATATCAATGTCTCTACCATTCATTCATTACCCTATCTTTACCTTTCTAGGTCATCTACCCCATTCCACAGCATGGGAGAGAAAGAAGAATATGCCAAACATTCCTATGTCCAGAAAACATTTAACCATGGCAAGTCCACACACTAAAATCTGAACAATTTGGTCAATATTTCTTTTTGAGAAGGGGTGAAACAAGATTCAATGCAAGGAAGAAGCAAAGAGAATTCCCAGAACCATGATGAAAAAGCTCAAGGCAACAGCTCTGTAGCAGGCCAGGGGACATGCATCTAGAGGAGTGAAAGGCAGAGAGCCTTTCACTGCAAAGCTTATGCTGTGCCTGGCAAGAGAATACAACATAGGCTCTCTGCAAGCATTATAAATCCCCAGAAAGGGGAGAAAGGTTTGCATGTCCAGTTCTTTATACAACACATAAAAACTAACTTCAAATGGATCACAGACCTAATTATAAAAGCTAAAACTATAAAACTTCTAAAGAAAACATAGAAAATCTTTCTGATCTTGGAGTAAGCACAGATTTCTCAGCACACAAAAAACACAACCATAAATATATATACACACATATGTAATATTTAAATATATTTACATTATATATGTAATATACATGTTTTATATATATATATGTAAATTGGACTTCGTCAAAATTTTGAAATTCTGCTCTTCCAAAGTTATCATCAAGAAAACAAAAAGGCAGGGCGCCTGAGTGGCTCAGTTGGTTAAGCGACTGCCTTCGGCTCAGGTCATGATCCTGGAGTCCCGGGATCGAGTCCCGGGATCGAGTCCCGCATTGGGCTCCCTGCTCGGCGGGAGCCTGCTTCTCCCTCTGACCCTCCCCCCTCTCATGTGCTCTCTCTCTCTCATTCTCTCTGTCTCAAATAAATAAATAAAATCTTTAAAAAAAAAAAAAAAGAAAACAAAAAGGCAAACCATAGATGGGGACAAAATATTCACAGTGCAAATATCTTGTAGAGTTTTTATCCAAAATATAGAAAAATTCTTACAGCTCAGTAATTAGATAACCCAAATAAAAAACCGGCAAAATATTTGAACAGGCACTTCCCAAAAGATATACAAATGTCATGTAAGCATATGAAAAAATGTTTAACATCATCAGGGAAAGGCATACTAAAACCACAACGAGATCTAGTACACATCCACCGAAGTGGTTAAAATGAAAAATAATGACAATATCAAGCATTGACAAGGATATGGAGCAACTGAAACCATACACTGCTTGTCAGAACGCAAAATAGCACAAATACTTAGGAAAAGTTTATTTCGTCAAAAGTTACACATACACTTACCAGAAGACTGAACAATCCTACCTCCAGGTATTTCACCAAGAGAAATGAAAACACATCGCCACACACAGACCTGCAACATATATACATAGCAGCTTTATTGATAAGAGACTAAAACTTAGATGTTCATCAACAACCTAGATGCCCATCAACATACATGAATAGCTATAAATTGTGGTTTAACCACACAACAGAATAATACTCAGCAATAAAAATAAAACCTATTGCTGATATACACAATAGCACAGATGAAACTCGACATGGATGGATTTCAAAAGTACTATGCTGAGCAAAGTGTCAGACACAGAGTAAATACTGTATGATTTATTTGAAATTCTAGAAGAGTCGAATCTAATTTATAGTCACAGAAAGGAATCAGTGGTTGAACAATGCTGGTTCTTGGGGTGGAGGGGAACTCACAACAAATGGGCATTAGAGAACTTTTTGGGTGATGGAAATATTCTACATCTTGATGGTAATGGTGATTGTGGGGTTGTTCACATTTGTTAAAACTCCTCAAACTGTAAACTTACAATATAGGGTGCATTTTATTATATGTAAATTACACTCTTAAGAAAGTTGACAGGGTGGACAGAGAATATGATTTATTTTACATTCTTTCCTTCTAATTAAATGTAGAGTCAATACTGTGGGTCCTTCACAATTCCTAGTGAGATCTTTGGATATGCTGAACAAATGTTTACATATTGTCTTGTAATTGACATTATCCATTTCCAATAGAATTTCCATGACTTAAAAAATACATGAAATTAGAAAAAAAATCCCAATTTGGTGTTTATCTCATGCTTACTTTGAAATATAATTTTCACTAATTTTTGTTGGAGTTTGAGGGAATCATGAAATAATATGCCCTGTGCCCTCCTGACTTCTGAGCCACTTGAGAGACCAAGCCAGGTAAATGGAGATATCAACTTTATTGCTGAAGGACGTAGGTTAAAGGGTGTAATTTAGGCTTGTACCAATAATGGCTACCTAATATCTAACCCAGAATTAGACCTGCTCACCAAGGAATGGGCAGTCCTATACAACCACAGGGCTCCCCTCGCAGAGGCAGAGAGCCTTTCACTGCAAAGCTTATGCTGTGCCTGGCAAGAGAATACAACATAGGCTCTCTGCAAGCATTATAAATCCCCAGAAAGGGGAGAAAGGTTTGCATGTCCAGTTCTTTATCCTGAACTCCCTTTCGCAGGGCACTGGGGGTGATTAGAGAAGGGAGTGATCAGGATTCCTTGCTTAATGGATGAAAGGAAGCTATTCCTACCCTCTGCCTTCCCAACAAAATGTAGATCAACATTTCTCAACCTGTCTTCCACTGTGGCACACAGAGCAAGTTCACATACAACATGCATTAAGGCACAATTCATGGTACACCAACCACAGGGCTACCCCTTCCCTTCCATTCAGGAAGGCATATTTCATTGCAAGGGACTAAAGTGACATACTTCATTTTAATTTACTTTGGTAATGAAATTTCTGTATTTTGTTATTGATTTAAAAAAAAACCAAACCCTTACTTTCTCAATCCTAAAATGTCATCAATTACAAAGTACACACCATTGGCTTAATAAAAATCTCTCAGAAAAAAACACATTTAATATACCAATTGACTTAAAGATAATCCTGGAACTATGGTTCCTGTGTCAACTCAAAACTCATGTAGATACATGTATGTCATGAAATCAAAGCTCCAGAATGGCTGGTCCAGAGTCAATTTAGAAAGGCTACTGTCTCACAGAGTCTGAAATAAAAACAAACAAAGTTTTCTTACTGCTGGGAAAGGCAGTAAGACAAGCTTTTGACATCGTTACATAAAGCATAATTTTCAAACTGAAGACGCTATAGTGGTCAGTTATAATCATGGCAACTCTAGCTTTCTCAGACAAAACTTTTTTATTTAGTCTTCCCTATAATTTTGTCATATAACATCAATTTAAAAGCTCTTTACATTAAGACTACTACCATAAAATTTTGTACCTAGGGGCGCCTGGGTGGCTCAGTTGGTTAAGTGACTGCCTTCGGCTCAGGTCATGATCCTGGAGTCCCAGGATCGAGTCCCGCATCGGGCTCCCTGCTCGGCGGGGAGTCTGCTTCTCCCTCGGACCCTCCCCCCTCTCATGTGCTCTCTTTCTCATTCTCTCAAATAAATAAATAAAATCTTAAAAAAAAAAAAAATTTTGTACCTAGGCCCCAACTGCAGTAAATCTGGGTTCTGTGATCTATAACTTGCATGACTTTTCATTGTTTGCGTAGTATTTGTTAGCACATTTAACATAAATACTCTATAATCTACAAACCTGTTGTCTAGAGAATAATACATGGATTCTCAAATTATCAGGCATGATCTGGATGTGTGGTGTTCTGACTAATAAGTGTCTATGCCACACAATTTTCAAATAAGAATAATACAAATTATATTCAATATACTGTTTAATGTTATTTCAGAAGGTATATTAAACATCTTTAATTATATCACTATTATGAGCATCAACTATTTTTCTTTCAGATTCAGAAGTATTTGTTATTGCAGTTAACAAGCTTAGCAAATGTCTCTGTATCAGTATTCACATCTTATAAAATGATATATGCATTTTTCTCTTCACACATAGAAGAGTGTTAGCTGAGCATCTTCTGGGGCATGAATAAATGAGCTGCCTTCCTTCTTCATAATTCATTATTCCTTTTCTCTCCATTTTATGTCTTCCAACTTATGTCTTATATCTGAGTAAGGAAAAGACTAATCTGGCCTACCGATATCAATACAGGAAAAACACTAGGTTCTTTAACAGAATCTTGTGGCTACATGCCCTCCATCCTGGGTCTTGCCTCTTTTAGGGTTGAGATAGAATTTATGACAAGAATAACCCCAACTGATAACCATCTGTCCTACAATATCAAAAGTAGTGACTCCTCACTTTCAGATAAAGATTACGAAGTTCTCCTACCATCTTAAAATCAGAAGAAACTGAGGTTAAATATCTCCAAACTAATTCAAGTTCTTCATAGAAATAGCTAACATTTACTGAGCGCATCCTATGCAAGATACCATCCAAGGTGCTTTACATATTTTATTCCCACATAACAAAGAAATTAAATAAATAAATCTAATTTTTCAAAAGTTAACAATACAAAGAGGCAAATCTTTAAAATGCAGGGAAAAAAAAAACTATTTATTCACAAATTACACGATAAACAAAAACCCAATACTCCAAACAACATACCAAAGGGTGAATGCTCACTTCTGTAGATGCCCAAGTATCTACCCTGAGAGAATATCCTTTATTAAATGAAATAAAATGTAATTAGTATTTGTTTTTTGGATTACTCTAAAACTAACCTCTCTAACCAGAGCTAACTTTCTGATGTAACTTTGGGGAAAATACAATACTCTGGAAAAAAAGAGGTAAGCATTCCACTAAAGGAAAAAAATTTTAAATCATCTCAGAGGGTGGGGGATGGGCTAGATGGGTGATGAGCATTAAGGAGGGCACTTGTAATGATGAGTACTGGGTGTTGTATGTAAGTGATGAATCACTGAATTCTACTCCTGAAACCAGTATTACACTGTATGTCAATTAACTAGAATTTAAATAAAAATTTAAAAAGGAAAAAAAAAATCATCTCAGAAAAATGTCGACCATTACTCACATGCTCCAACAGGTTAAGGTAAGATTCCTTAAAATAAAATAGCTTACTTTCATTTCTAACAAGGGTAAAATTAATTTTACAGCAATAATAGCTTCCTGAGTGTCAGAAGTAACAGTACCCAGTAGTCTATATAATTGTACTACAATATATGTAGTATAAAAATAATAATTCACATTAGCAATAACAGTTTTGATTTGTGAATACAACTGTGGCCTTTCAATGAAATATTTCTTTAAATATATCCTTCTCTACTCACATACTGTACCATAGTCACGTTTCAGTTTCTATGTATGTTGTGCCTAAATTATTCATTCACTGGCACTCATTAACATCCTTACTTTTTTATTTTTAGAAAGATATAATCTAGCTATTAAAATTGAAACTAATTTAATTGAGTAGTTGCAAAAAAGTTATCTAGAAAAGGACTTCCAAACCATTAGCTGGAAAGTTATAAGCAAAAGATAAGTTATTTTTAGAGTTTTTAAGCTTTTAAAAATAAGGAGAAGAAAATACTGCTTTTGACTGGGACAACACAGTAGTACAATTTGTTATGACACATCTATAAAAGCCATTCATTTTTTAAAAATGCACATCTGAAACATGACCTACCTGTGGAAAGGAACACTATCCACTTTAACAACTAAAAAAATAAAACCATCATTCTGACATTTATCAGTATTTTACATACCTAATACTGAAAGAGGCAACTACTATTTTCATAATAATCTTAAAGTCAAAATATAAGCACAAATCAGAATTCAGAGAAACTTCGAAAATGTTTAGAATGTACACACTTGCATGCATTTTCAGTCAAACTTTCAAAGATCCCACATATAACCAAATGACAACTTTGAATCAAAATGAATGTCAAAGATATTCAAGCTTTGTGACAGACTCTAATGCAACCGGAAAAACAGAAGAGTAAAGAGCAAGAGCAGTATATTTCTAAGGAGGGAAAGAAATCACCGACTTCCTTTATCATGAAACAAAAGTCAACAAGTCAGCATTTTAATAACACTGGCCATCGAGTGATTCACTAGTAGAGAATTCACTTTTCAAGTTGTGTCTTTAAAATGCATTCACTTATATTTTTGGATTACATTAAGTTTATTAATCAAAAGCCACCGTACTCAGATTTCTAATCTTAAGAAGTTTAAATCATAACTTATCAAAGCATCCAAACACTGTACAGTAATTCTACCATTTAGTTTTTATATGTCTCATCTGCGAAACTCACTTTACAAACAGGAGCTTTGCTCTGTTTCTCCATAGTTAACGTCCCTATGCCTAAAATTTTAAGTGGCAATCAAAAAGACAGATTAAAGGATTCCCACTACTTCATCGGGCTTTGATGAAAACAGAGCCATCTGGTGGTGCAGCACCATCTTCCTTCTCAGTGACCGTCTCTACAGTCCCAGAAGCCGACACAATAACCATCGTTTTACTTGCTGGAACCGTCTTCTGTTTCTCAGCAATCGCCGCACAAACAGCAACAATCTCATCACTTTCAAAGTCATAGTCAGGAATGGACTTTGGTGAGAAATGGGTTACTTCCACTGATGCTTCACGCTTTTTAATCTTCTGGGCTACCTTCTGCTGCTCCTGGAGTGTTCTTGCCCAAGAAAGGTCTTCTTTCCATATTTCAGGGTTCATTGGATAGATGTGAAGGGCGACCTGAAAACTTCGAATTGCCTAGGGGAGTTAAAAAAAAAAAAAATCAAAGTTTTTTTTTTATTGTTTGCTTTGTTTTAAAAAAAATGAGTGGATTTAATGTAATCCATAATATCTATCTCTATCTCTTTAAAATATATATATATATATATATATATTTTAAAACATATTAGAATGTAAGGATAGAAATTAGGGCTGTACCCTAAACGCTGGATGATGATTATGATGGGAAAAAAAAAAGTTAAAGAAGTGTGAAAGAAAGTGCCAGACAAATTGCTGCTGAGGACTCCAAGTCCATTAAAGTACAGGTAATGCTATTATAGTTCAAGACAAGGCAAATGCATTGTTCTGCTTCTGCAGGCCAGGAGATATAAGAATCTAGGGATTTCTGGGCTAAAGCATGATCAGGAAGGTACCCGGAATGCCTACCTTTAACGCCAAGAGCTTAGATTCAAATAATGCTAACATATATTGACTGTCGCAAGAGACAAAGAAGGACATTATAGAATGATAAAAGGGTCAATTCACAAGGGAGATACAATCATTATAAAATATATTTATTCCAACATCAGAACACCTATATGTATAAAGCAAACATGGACAGAACTGAAGTGAGAAACTGACAGAAATAAATAGCAGGAGACTGCAATACCTAACTTTCAGCAATGGATCCAACACCCAGACAGAAGATCACTAAGGGAACAGAGGACCTGAACAACACTATAGATCAAAGGGGCCTAAAAGACATAGACAAAACATTCCTCTCAACAGCATCAGAGTACATACTATTCTCAAATACAAACAGAACATTTTCCAGGAGAGATCACATGTCAGGTCACAGAGCAAGTCTTAACAAATTTAAGGTGACTGAAATCATACCAAGTATCTTTTCTAATGACAACGGAATAAAACCAGAAATCAATAACAGAAGAAAAACCAGGAAATTCACAAATAAGCAGAAACTAAACAACACAATCTTAAACAACCAGTGAATCAAAGAAGTCAAAAGGGAAATGAGAAAACATCTGGAGACAAACAAGAATGAACATATAACATACTAAAACTTATGGATGCAGCAAAAGCAGAACTAAGAGGGAAGTTTATACAAGAAAGATCTCAATTAAAAAGCTAATTTTACACCTCAAACAATTAGAAAATGAAGAACAAACTAAGCTAATCATTGTTTTCCAACACCCAACTCTCTTTTTTTAAGTTTCAGGTTTTTATTTACATTCCAGTTAGTTAACATATAGTGTAATATTAAGTTTCAGGTGTAGAATTTAATGATTCATCACTTACAACACCCAAGTCTATGTAAAAACCTAAATAATTACTCCTGGGTCTATCCCCACCTACTGACTTTTTTTTTTTTTTAAAGATTTTATTTATTTATTTGAGAGAGAGCACATGAGAGGGGGGAGGGTCAGAGGGAGAAGCAGACTCCCTGCCGAGCAGGGAGCCCGATGTGGGACTCGATCCAGGGACTCCAGGATCATGACCCGAGTCGAAGGCAGTCGCTTAACCAACTGAGCCACCCAGGCGCCCCCCACCTACTGACTTTTAGTGTACTACCTGTTCTATTTATCCATGTATTTTTTTGTGTTTTTGTCCAAATATATGCAAATATCAGAAGAATGGTTAGATGTTAACATTTTTTAGCTTGCTTTCAATATATTTTTCATAGTGACCCTTCCTTATGACATTTTGAGTAAAGTTATTTTTTTCTTAACACTTCAGTCTTTCAAAAGAATAGCTTAAGTTTACATAAAAATTACAACTTTAGATTTTTCCAAGTACAGCCCTAAAAATTACATTAAGTGAGGAAAAAAATACCACTTTTAACCCCTCCAAGAATTTCATAATTTTAATGGACATAACTGTATCAACAGGAAAAAAAATAACAGTTGAACAACTGGTTCCCTTATTCAAAAAAACTTAAAATCTTAAACAAATTTACTTTTACTGATTGACTGAAAATATCTCTACAATGTCACCCGCAGTATTTTCTTTCTTTATAGGACAATCTTTGCTAAACATTAAATCCTACAGATTTATTCCCATTACCATAGATACTTAACAAGCAAAAGAGATAATGCTTTGTAAGCTTTTAAATAAAGCAGAAATGGGGGGAAAGTATTATGTGATAGGCTTTGTTTGTTTTCCTGTTAACCCATTAGAAAACAAAATACCATGGATTTCTTTTTTCCAACTCCAGTATGATTTAAGTCTTCAGGTAAAAAAAAAAAAAGAAAAGAAAAGAAAATGGACTTTGGTTCATCTGGTTTCCATCACTGTGAATCTCATTTCAAATTATAATGTTTACAAGTTACTTGACACCAATTATTCTCTCATCAAAATTCTTTACTTATTATTTCTGAGAATTTGACAAACACCTTTTTTTGGTAATCAGAAATAATATATTTATCAGAAAAATCCAACTTATCCATAACTTAAGCCATTGCTAGTAAAGGTAAATTCAGGGTTTACCAGTCATTTCATTAGCCTTTAAAGAAACTATTTTTAGGGCACCTGGGTGGCTCAGTTGGTTAAGCGACTGCCTTCAGCTCAGGTCATGATCCTGGAGTCCCGGGATCGAGTCCCGCATCGGGCTCCCTGCTCGGCAGGGAGTCTGCTTCTCCCTCTGACCCTCCCCCCTCTCATGCTCTGTCTCTCTCATTCTCTCTCTCAAATAAATAAATAAAATCTTTAAAAAAAGAATAATAAAAAAAATAAAGAAACTATTTTTAATTTTTTATTTATTGTTTTCTTTTCTAACTGTGAAAGGCAAATAAAGCCATGCAAAATCTTAATTAAGACAAACAGAAAATCTGGCACTACTGTATTAGATTTGAAAACACTCTTTAGGATGATAGCGACCAAAACAAAAACAAAAACAGGATAACTGTCATAGTCAATTCTCATCTATTCAGCCTGTGCTACCTAATACCTGAAAAAAAATTCTTTTTTTTTAAGATTTTATTTATTTTAGAGAGAGAGAGAGTGGGAAGGACAGAGGGAGAGATTCTCAAGCAGACTCCCCACTGAGCACAGAGCCTGCCAGAGGGCTCAATCTCACAACCCATGAGATCATGATCTGAACCAAAACCAAGAGTCAGACACTTAACCAACTGAACCACCCGGGCACCCCCTGCAAAAGATATTCTGATTCTAATATAACTGATGTTTATAACGGAAAAAGATGTTCAATAATAACTTTGATCTGTGTCTATGGCTTAATACTTTTTTTTTTTTTTTTTTTTTTTTTTTTTATTTGACAGAGAGAGACACAGCGAGAGAGGGAACACAAGCAGGGGGCGTGGGAGAGTGAGAAGCAGGCTTTCCGCTGAGCAGGGAGCCCGATGCAGGGCTTGATCCCAGGACCCTGGGACCATGACCTGAGCCAAAGGCAGACGCTTAACAACTGAGCCACCCAGGCGCCCCTATGGCTTAATACTTTTAAGAAGTAATTTGTTATTTACTTTTTGCATAGATATGATAAATGGCTATTTACTTTTTGGTTCAGCTAATCAAAAACATGTCAGAATAAAATTTTGTCATTATAACAATCTAACTTCCTTACCAGGACTATCTCTCCTAATCCAAGCTGAGCACGGCCCAAAGTTTGCCAAGATTCCCATGAATGTGGATTTCTCTGGACAGCCATTTCAGCTGCATGTACTGCTGGGAACATTTCATGAAGAGACATTAGGACCTATAGCCAGAAAAAAAGAAACAAAACCTGTCAGTAATATTCATAAACTAGCAAACTACTAATGAATAACCATATGTAAACTTTTCATTTTTAAAAAAATATTTTTAGTCTGGTAAATATAGCATCTCAGTGGTTCTGACCCACTCCTTTGCCATGCAGGGTCAGGAATGACTATTCTTCTTCCTATTTCTAAAATAACTATGAAAATGTAAACTATCCCCTTTTCAGTTATTGAACCCTGCTGTCCATCTGGTTAAAATAAGATGGTCATGATCTAGCCATGGTGGCTCACAGGTATTTGAACTCTTAATTCCACTTCTGATTATTCTATTTACAATGTGGTTTTCGGGGGACCCCAGGTCTTTTTTTGCTCAACCACCCATCCTATGAACATCTTCCTGCTACAAAAATCATTTAAACACTCCACCGGCCTCCCCACAACTGCATTCTTCAAACCATACAAAGAGAAAAATAGGGAGTGCCAGAACCTACCGCTTCAGTCTATGGGAAAGGGCTAGATTTTATCTATCATCTTTGGGACCATTCACATTTCACAAGATCTGTAACACAACTATCATTATCAGGTTACCCATTAATTTATTTCATATAGTTTACCACAAACACTGTCTTTAATATATATGTAGTCAAGACTGAAAGTTAAAGACTTAACCAAATGAAGGTCTTCAACAACACTTCATTCAGCGGACATAATTTATTTGGGGTTTTCTTGGATAAACTAAAATCAAAGCTGATAAAGAATGTCCCTTATGTTTGATATCATCATCTGAAAGATATCAGTAAGGTGTGTAGATCAAGGCTGAATTGTAACTATTCCCTGCCAAAATATGTATGATATTCCATTAGTGATTTTAAAGTCTTTTGGATAACTTAATCCAAGTGCTCAGAGATTTTCTTTATAGACTTTCCCACAAAATAACAGAAATGTATTTTTAAAAATTCAAGTGTTATTTTTAAACTATTAAAAATTTGAGTCTATTCTGACCTTTTGCTAAGGACTGGGCCATTTTTAGAGAAATATCATCACTCAGAGTCCAACCATCCTTATTCTGAAAAAACAAAGCTATTGCTCAGTCCACTACAATTAATTTCCAAGGAAAGCAAACACATTTCATTTATTTAAGAAATCACCAGTGACTTCCTAAAAGATAGCCTTCCTTTCATATCTTACCATAGGTTAAAATAAGTTAACTTCATTGTGAAAATAAATGAATTTCATGGGACTGAGCCATAAATAATATGGTGATAATATTTCACCCAGGGCCCACCAATAATAATAATACGGTAACATATTTAAGAAAGGAAATGTTGACAAATTTGAAAAAGACATATTCAACAAAGAAAATGGAAAGAAATGCCATTTTGGTTCATTACTGTTCACCAAACACATATGAACACAACACAGGAGATTTCATAATGCAAATGAAATTCTTCATAATCATTACCTGCGATTTCATCTCATACAGGGTGGCATCATCTGGGGTTAACTGCAGTGCTTCATCCCATTTTTGAATTGCCTCTCGATATCTGTGGTTAAGTTACATTAGCATCATATTTTTAGTAAGTCCTTGAAAGTACATGACCAAATTTTAAAATCAGGTACTAAGGAATAATTGTATATCAAGAAATAGCTCTATTCAAGAACTGACACTAATAATAATGTTACAAAAGCAAGAAAAATTCCAAAGGGAAAGGACAGCAAAGGAGAAAAAGACAAATATAAATAAAAGAGATCTTAGAAATCTTTCCCCAATTTTACTTTCTGGGCTGAGAAATCACTACCAAAATTTCCCTTTTTCATCAACCTCAATGTCTGCAAATGTTGTCATACAAGTTAGAAGTACCACAAAGGACTTTTCTGAGGAATTTACAATCCAGTTGCAATCCTGGGCTCTACTAAAACAATCTAGCTGACACAGAACACTTTAAGAAGTTTAAGCCTGTTGCTTGTGTAAAGACTCCAGTTTTCGGGCACAGGGGTGGCTCAGTTTGTTGAATGTCCAACTCTTGATTTCAGCTCAGGTCATCATCTCAAGGTCATGGGACTGAGCCCTGCATCAGTCCCTGCACTCAGCAGGGAGTCTGCTTGAGGATTCTCTCTCCCTCTGCCCCTCCACCCCCCGCCCCCCAACTTGCGCTTTCTCTAAAATAAATAGATAAATCTTAAAAAAAAAAAAAAAAAAAAGATTCTTCAGTTTTAAGTTTCCTTGTCTGTAAATTCCATGAGCTCAGGAACTATAATATCTTTTCATCACTATTAATACATGGTAAGCTTATAAAAAATGGGTCAAATGAATGGAAAACAGTTTAGAGATGGTGATCTCCACTACCACCTTTCCACTGATGTCCTCCTAGTCAGGTTTTTCTTGTGAGCTCCAGAGCCATATGGTCAACTAACATCTCCATGAAGATACTTCAAACTCATTCTGCCTAAAACTGATCTTAGCACATCACATGCCAAATCTGCAGAAGCACTGCAGCACTTTCTTTTTTAAATAAAATTAAGGAATGACGAAGTCCTCCATGTTATCTCAGGCAGGCATTTTCACAGCATCCTTCACAAGTGGTTAACTCATGTATACCTGAATATCTCTAGAAAGAGAAAGTTCTATTTACCAGAATATTTTCCATGATGATGAGCTGAAACTTTCTATTCTGTACCTTTCCCCCAGTGCTACTAATTCTGCTTTCTCAAGCTAAACAGAAAATATGTAATCCACTAGTTTTGATTCTTGGCTACACCAGAATGATCTAGGGAGATTGTAGAAGTGAATCCCACACACAACACAGAGCTGGCCTTTGCCTCAGCTCAACTAAAACAGATATTCTCGGAGGAGGGCCCAGGCATCTCTATTTTTTGAACCAGGAAATGCTAATAAACACCAAGGTTGTGAACCATTGATAATATCTTTCAAAGCATATTAAGACCTATCATCTACAATCTTCTCTTGAATCACTCATTGTTACCTGTTTTCCAGACCCTTCATTTCCTCTGTATGTGTTCTTCTGCATAATTTCCTACTTGAATATGTGAAGATCCAAACCAAACACAACAACCAAAATGTGGGCCGATATGCACTGATTATTATTTAAACAGAGGACAGTGAAATAAAGAAATAAAGGCGACATTTGGGAGAAAATGCAAAGTTGAAGAACATAAAAAAGTACATCCTGTTTTCACCTGACTAGACAGTTCCTTGACTAGCAAGGAATATGAATGGGCAGTTCCATTTCCAGGGGTCTCATGCCATCTTGGCAAATGACAAACAGGCTATAGACACCTGAAACTAAGTCTACCACAGAGCCAACTCCATGGCTAGCAGCAGGGTGAGGGTGAACATGGTGGGAGTGTGCTTTACACATCCTGCCTGAGGCCATGATAGGCCACATTAGTGGCTATTGCTGCTTTGTAGTAGCCGGCTCTGTAGAGTTCCACGCTTCAGATCCCCCCTGCAAAAGCTGACAGTCTTTGCTTCCAGGCAAACCAATCCGAAAATGTAGACATGGCTATCAGAACTCCTGCCTAGACCACAGTTAATATCTTCTTCCCTAACAGGGGCCCCTGCTGAGCACTGAAAAGTTACCTGTTTGAACACTGTGTTTAATTCTGGGTGAAAGACTACTAGAATTTTAGGAACACCATGTGACCATTATTCACTTCATTTTTATGATGTGCTACTACACTGCAGTGTTTCTCCCTGCTTCTGCCTGCATCAGGAATATTCTTTCTGGGGGAAGCCTAGGTGGCTCGGTGGCTCGGTCGGTTAAGCGTCTGCCTTCAGCTCAGGTCATGATCTCAGGGTCCTGGGAGGGAGCCCCACATGGGGCTCCCTGCTCAGCGGGGAGTCTGCTTCTCCCTCTGCCATGCCCCCCTGTTCCTGCTCTCTCCCTAAAATAAATAAAATCTTTAAAAAAAAAAAAAAGAGGGCGCCTGGGTGGCTCAGTTGGTTAAGCGACTGCCTTCGGCTCAGGTCATGATCCTGGAGTCCCTGGATCGAGTCGCGCATCGGGCTCCCTGCTCGGCAGGGAGTCTGCTTCTCCCTCTGACCCTCCCCCCTCTCATGTGCTCTCTCTCTCTCATTCTCTCTCTCTCAAATAAATAAATAAAATCTTTAAAAAATAAACAAAATAAAAGGAAAAAAAAGAAATATTCTTTTTTAAAAATTTTTAGGTAGTTAACATACAGTGCAATATTGGTTTCTGGAGTAGAATTCAGTGATTCATCACTTACATAGAACACCCAGTGCTCATCATAACAAGTGCCCTCCTTAATACCCATCACCCATTTCGTTTGCCCCACACCCCCCCTCAATTAACCCTCAGTTTGTTCTCTATCGTTGAGTCTCTTATGGCTTGTTTCCTTCTCTCCTTTTTCTCTTTTCCCCCTTCCCATACATTCATGTTTTCTTTCTTAAATTCCACATAGGAGTGAGATCATATGGTATTTGTTTTTCTGTGACTGACTTATTTCACTTAGCATAATACACTCTAGCTCCGTCAATGTCATTGCAAATGGCAAGATTTCATTCTGTTTGGTGGCTGGGTAATATTCCATTGTGTGTGTGTGTGTGTGTATAAATATAAATAAAAATAGATAGATAGATAGATAGATAGATAGATAGATAGATAGATAGATAGATAGATAGATATCACATCTTCTTTATCCATTCATCAGTCGATGGACATTTGGGTTCTCTCCACAGTTTGGCTATTGTTGATAATGCTGCTATAAACATTGGGGTGCATGTAGCCCTTAGAATCTGTATTTTTGCCACAAATCAAACCTCTAAGAGCTTTGCCAATTGGAAATGATTTAGTTATCAAGGATTTTCCCCAACTCGAGCATCTATCTAGAGCCAGGGTCCCCAAAGGGGAAAGTAATAGTGGAAACACGCAGTCTCACCGGCTGTTGTCAGTGCTCTTCCTCCATCTCACTCTCAGAGTCCCCTCTGGAGTGCTCCATACGTCTGCTTTCCACACATTCAGTCACTTCTGCACAGTGTCAGGCTATGCCCATTAGCGTGGCCCATACAGGAGTGAGTGGCTGGCACACAATTTTCCATACAAACTCTGTGCTCAGCAGGCGACAGACACGGGCTGGTTAAACCACTGTGTCCTGCTGCTGGCCCCTAGTTACCCTCAATGGGAATCTGAAACTCACAGTTATTTTTAGATAATTCATATGTCAATGTTAGCTAGAAACTGCCTAATGCACTTCAAAGTAAGCCATTTAAGGTATCTTTTCAGGTACCATCAAAATTCTTATTTATCAATTCCCTCTATTAAAACACCATCAACTGGGGCGCCTGGGTGACTCAGTCGGTTGAGCATCGGACTCTGGATTCCAGCTCAGGTCATGATCTCAGGGTCATGAGAACGAGCCCTGCAGTCAGGGATTCTCTGTCTCCCTCTGCCCCTCCCCACCCTCCAACCCCCTCACCCCACCCCCTGGTCACAGAAAAGTAGCTGTTTCTGCAGGGTTACAACCTATCAGATCACACTGTTTGGATTCGTGTGCTAACCCCTCAAAGGTGCCATTCTTACAGTCCTTCCTTTCCCAGCCCCCCATATAAAGTAGCTTCCTTTAAGCAAAACATAATTTTATTTTTTTTAAAGATGTTATTTATTTGACAGAGAGAGACACAGCGAGAGAGGGAACACAAGCAGGGTGGGTGGGAGAGGGAGAAGCAGGCCTTCTGTGGAGCAGGGAGCCCAGATGCGGGGCTCGATCCCAGGACCCTGGGATCATGACCTGAGCCGAAGGCAGACGCTTAACGACTGAGCCACCCAGGCACCCCTAAGCAAAACATAATTTTAAAAAAGAATGGTGGCAGAGAAAAGATGTTAAGGACCTCACCTGGTACTCAAGTCAGCAAAGGAGAAGATAAAAAGGAACTTACAGAGAAGGTACGAGAAAGTCTGAACTTTACTGGTGGGACTCAAGGGATAAAGATCACAGCTTGCGGATAAGAGAGAAAGGGAAGGAGGGGGAAGGCAGGATCTGCAGATTCCACTGGGGCCTCTTCCTTCTCTGATCCGCACGTGTACATCTATTATGGCAGCCTAAGACCGCAAATCTGTGCTGCCAACTAAAACGCGTGGTTGGCTTACAGGAAGTGTTTGATTTTTTTTAATACAAAATGTTCTTAAATCAGGTCTTCCTGGTATTCTATACCTAAGTAAATGACACTTGTTTTGATATAATTGTTCTGATATAAAAAATTATTTCCTAAATATACAAATAGAGAAGAATCAGAAAATACAGGAAAGTGCACACATACACACACATACCCCCCACACAGAATTAAAGACAACCATAGTTAATATAGTTAACACTTTATTGTATATTCTTTCAGTTTGTTTTAATGTATATCACACATATGAAACATTTTTTATGTCTTTAAATTATCAAATGCTTCTTTCTGTAGCATAATGCTCAGAGACTGATTACTACTGTTTCAATACAAAATTCATTCAAATGAATCCTCTACTGTTAGACATTATACTTAAAAGCTGCTAAGAGAGTA